CCAAGGGAGTGGGCTCACTCACAATTTTGCCTAAGAACACAGCCATGAATAAAGAATGGTACGAACACATCCTCCAAGAGCAACTTCTCCCAACCATCCAAGAACAGTTTGGTGACGAACAATTCCTTTCCCAGCATGATGGAGCACCTTGCCATAAGGCAAAAGTGATAACTAAGTGGCTTGGGGAACAAAACATCGACATTTTGGGTCCATGGCCAGGAAACTCCCCAGACCTTAATCCCATTGAGAACTTGTGGTCAATCCTCAAGAGGTGGGTGGACAAACAAAAACCCACAAATTCTGACAAACTCTAAGCATTGATTATGCAAGAATGGGCTGCCATCAGTCAGGATGTGGCCCAGAAGTTAATTGACAGCATGCCAGGGCGGACTGCAGAGGTCTTGAAAAAGAAGGGTCAACACTGCAAATATTGACTCTTTGCATAAACTTAATGTAATTGTGAATAAAAGCCTTTGACACTTATGGAATGCTTGTAATAATACTTCAGTATACCATAATAACATTGACAAAAATATCTAAAAACACTGAAGCAGCAAACTTTGTGAAGACCAATACTTGTGTCATTCTCAAAACTTTTTACCACGACTGTATATATATTTTGTATGATTTATATATATATATATATATATATATATATATATATATATTACAAATCGATACTTGGAGTCAAATATCAATATAATATAATCCAAAAATAATATTGAGATATGTCACTGTATAGATTTTTTTCCCCCATCACTAACACATACACACACGCACACACGCTCACACACAGTACATCACTTGGGTCGAGCTCCCTGCCATCCAGGACAGTTATAGTAGGTGGTGTATAAAGAAGGCCCGGAAAATTGCCAAAAACTTCAGCAACCCCAGCAATGGACTGTTCACCCCACTACCATCTGGTAAATGGTACCCGGAGCATCATGTCACGGACCAACAGGCTCTGAGACATCTTGATCTCCAAGCAATAAGACTGTTGAACTGCCAACCCATGGCTGCTCACCCCCATCCACTGACTATCTGCACTGACTCTATACACAATCTAATTTCTCTATCCACACACACACTCACACACTTAAACTGTCACTCTGGCACACACACACACACACAAACACATAACACACTCACACACACACACACACACATACTGACACTAATATTTATGATTATTTATCCTGCTGCCTAGTCGCTTCTAGTCACTTTTACCACTGCCTACATGTATATATTACCTCAACCTCCATCTTATCCCTGCACGTTGATATGGTATTAGTATTGGTGTTGTATATACAGTTGAAGTCAGATGTTTACATACACTTAGGTTGGAGTCATTAAAACTAGTTTTTCAACCACTCCACACATTTCTTGTTAACAAACTATAGTTTTGGCAAGTCGGTTAGGACATCTACTTTGTGCATGACACAAGTAATTTTTCCAACAATTGTTTACAGACAGATTATTTCACTTAAAATTCACTGTATCACAATTGCAGTGGGTCAGAAGTTTACATACACTAAGTTGAATGTGCCTTTAAACAGCTTGGAAAATTCCAGAAAATGATGTCATGGCTTTAGAAGCTTCTCATAGGCTAATTGACATAATTTGAGTCAATTGGAGGTGTACCTGTGGATGTATTTCAAGGCCTACATTCAAACTCAGTGCCTCTTTGCTTGGCATCATAGGAAAATCATAAGACATTAGCCAAGACCTCAGAAAAAAAATGGTATACCTCCACAAGTCTGGTTCATCCTTGGGAGCAATTTCCAAACGCCTGAAGGTACCACATTCATCTGTACAAACAATAGTACGCAAGTATAAACACCATGGGACCACGCAGCCGTCATATTGCTCAGGAAGGAGACGCGTTCTGTCTCCTAGAGATGAACGTACTTTGGTGCGAAAAGTGCAAATCAATCCCAGAACAACAGCAAAGGACCTTGTGAAGATGCTGGAGGAAACAGGTACAAAAGTATCTATATCCACAGTAAAACGAGTCCTATATCGACATAACCTGAAAGGCCGCTCAGCAAGGAAGAAGCCACTGCTCCAAAACCGCCATAAAAAAGCCAGACTACGGTTTGCAACTGCACATGGGGACAAAGATCATACCTTTTGGAGAAATGTCCTCTGGTCTGATGAAACAAAAATAGAACTGTTTGGCCATAATGAACATCATTATGTTTGGAGGAAAAAGGGGGTTGCTTGCAAGCCGAAAAACACCATCCCAACCGTGAAGCACGGGGGTGGCAGCATCATGCTGTGGGGGTGCTTTGCTGCAGGAGGGACTGGTGCACTTCACAAAATAGATGGCATCATGAGGAAGGAAAATGATGTGGATATATTGAAGCAACATCTCAAGACATCAGTCATGAAGTTAAAGCTTGGTCGCAAATGGTTGTGGCAAAGTTGTGGCAAAATGGCTTAAGGACAACAAAGTCAAGGTATTGGAGTGGCCATCACAAAGCCCTGACCTCAATCCTATAGAAAATGTGTGGGCAGAACTGAAAAAGCGTGTGCGAGCAAGGAGGCCTACAAACCTGACTCAGTTACACCAGCTCTGTCAGGAGGAATGGGCCAAAAATCACCCAACTTATTGTGGGAAGCTTGTGGAAGGCTACCCGAAACGTTTGACCCAAGTTAAACAATTTAAAGGCAATGCTACCAAGTACTAATTGAGTGTATGTAAACTTCGGACCCACTGGGAATGTGATGAAAGAAATAAAAGCTGAAAGAAATCATTCTCTCTACTATTATTCTGACATTTCACATTCTTAAAATAAAGTGGTGATCCTAACTGACCTAAGAAAGGGAATTTTTACTAGGATTAAATGTCAGGAATTGTGAAAAACTGAGTTTAAATGTATTTGGCTGTGGTGTATGTAAACTTCCGACTTCAACTGTAGCTTACATTTTGTTGTGTTTTGTTTCTCGTTGTGCTTTTATTTTTACCTGACCTAGTGTTGTTTCTTTAAAAAAAATCCTATTTCTATTTTCGTACCTCTGATACTGAACTCTGCATTGTTGAGGAAGAGCTAGTAAGTAAGCATTTCACTGTATGGTTTACAGCTGTTGTATTCTGTCATGTGATGAATAAACTTTGATTTGATTTGTTCATCACATGACAGAATACAATGGCTGTAAACCATATAGTGAAATGCTTACTTACTGAACTCTGCATTGTTGAGGAAGAGCTTGTATCAGAGGTATGAAAATAGAAATAGGATCTTAAAAAAAGGCATGGAAAGAAAAAACACTAGGTCAGATAAAAATAAAAGCACACGAGAAATAAAAAATACCAAAATGTAAGCAATATAAAAAATAAAATAAAAAATATACAAGGTCAATACCGATACACTATCAATGTGCAGGGATACAGTGGCTGTTGAGGTAATATACACTGAGTGTACAAAACATTAGGAACACCTGCTCTTTCCATGACATAGACTGACCAGGTGAATCCAGGTGAAAGCTATGATCCCTTATTGATGTCACTTGTTAAATCCACTTCAATCAGTGTAGACAAAATATTTAAGTGCCTTTGTTCGGGGTATGGTAGTAGGTGCCAGGCGCACCGTTTTGAGTGTGTCAAGAGCTGCTGAGTTTTTCATGCACAACAGTTTCCTGTGTGTATCAAGATTGGTCCACCACCCAAAGGACATCTTGTAGACTCCATGCCCCGACGAATTGAGGCTGTTCTGAGGGCAAAAGGAGTGCAACTCAATATTGTGAAGGTGTTCCTAACGTTTTGTACACTCAGTGTATACATGTAGCTTTACCTTTTAAATATACTGTATCTCCCTCAATTTCTTCAGTGTTCTTGTCTTCTTTCTCTCATTCTCTCTGTTTCCCATGAGAGAGACAGAGGCCTGATTAACAGATGAGGATGGGTGAATGATGAAGGGGGAGGGAGGAATTGTGAGGAGAAGGGGGACACTGGAGGATGAGGGAGGGGAGGAGAGAGGGAGCGAGAGAGCCGAGAAGCGCAGAGAGAGCGAGCAGCAGAGAGCGCGAGAGAGAGAGAGAGAGAAAGGCGCGATAGCGCGCGCGCGGGAGAGAGAGAGAAAGAGAGACTAGATCTCTCTCTTCTCTCTCTCTCTCTCTCTCTCTCTCTCTCTCTCTTCTCTCTCTCGCCTCTCTCTCTCTCTCTCTCTCTCTCTCTCTCTCTCTCTCTCTCTCTCTCTCGCTCTCTCTTCTCTCTCATTCTCCCATAGTTATTATATACTGTACGTCAATAGGTTATGATCGCGATCAGAGTAAGGGGCTAAAGTTAGAGGTCAAGGTAAGGGTTAGATGTCAGGGGTCATGGATTACTGGACGGGGGATTGGTGGGTTACTCTAAGCTCCGCTGAGACCCTCCGGTAAACCCAGGTGTACTGGATTAGGGGTGTGTGTGTGTGTGTTTGTGACACGCGGTGACTCAGTGTTACCCAACAAGCTGTGGACTGAATCCTTTAGATCCTTAGGGCCAAGACACACAAGGCATAAGTAACAGGTGACAACAACGGGACTCTTCACCTGGAGGTGTACTGTGCTGGATGTGTGTTGGATGGAGAAATTATGTAAATGTCAATTTTCTAATCAGTAATGTTTTTCTAACTTGCATTTCTACCTTCAGTGGGAAGCAAATGCCATCTCTATGGTTGTCAGTTAGATGTGATGTTTTGAACTGAGTTGTGTGGTAGAGATGTATGTCTTAATCAGTGAGTGATTTTCCTCTCTCAGGTCAAGCTGTTGAATTATCAACTCTTCAGTTTGACACAAACATAGTTGAACCATTCTCTATCACCACTCCACAAGTACTACTGTGTGTGTGTGTGTTTGATGACATTTTAACTGATGTCTTTCTCTTCTCTCTCTATCTCTTTAAGGAGCGAATGCCAGAGGACGTGAGAGGAGACAAATAAAGAGAAGAGCTGTGAGGATTTAGACAAGAGAAGAAGAACAGGACTTTTTGGGATAGGAGAGAAAGAGAAGGAGAGACGATGGGGAGAAAAAAGATCCAGATAGCACGGATTATGGATGAACGCAACAGACAGGTAAATGAACAGACACACACACACACACACACACACACACACTCTTAAGCTTGTGCTTAATCGTGTGTGAGCTTACTCAGAAAGGGTCACACACATAACCCCCCCAACCCTCCCACACCCGCAGACAACTAGGTGGGCAGGAAGCAGAGACAGATGCATTGTGTGTGTGTGTGTGTGTGTGTGTGCGTGCGTGCATGTTTGTCTGTATGTATGTGTGTGTAGTGGGGGAGTGGTTTCTCTCTTCCTGTTATGACAGGAAATGCACTAACATGTGCTTCCTGACCCCTAGAGCTAGAATGACCTCACTGTTCAGCGTGTGTGTGTGTGTTTGCATGTGATTACCAGTCATACCAGCTTCAGATTTCTTCCCCAGTGTCCTGACAGTGACATTGGATCTTCCACATACTCTGTTGTGAACACGTAGGCCTTCAGTGTACATGTAATACAGTTCACCTATATAATGTTCAATGCACATGCGGCCGGCCCGCGCGCCCGCCACCGGCGATTAGCCCGCCCGCGCCGAGCACCGCGCCGCGCCCCCCGCGCCCAGTATAGGAGCGCCCCGCGACCACCTCCCCCCGCACACGGCCGAGCGAGAGGCCCGCTTCCCGAACGCGAGCGATCGAGCGAGGCGCACACCCGCCTACGGGGCAGGAGAGCGCGCCCCCTCCCTTTATATTAGCGATCTCTCAGCTCCCCCACGCCCTAGCCACTTTATATCCTATCTCGACCCCCTCTCCCACTACTCCTTTCTATCGATCTCTCCCTCTCTCCCCCCTCCCACTCCCTCGTCTATCTTTCTCTCCCTCTCTCCCCCCTCTCTCCCTCCCTCCCTTTCTATCTATCTTTCCCGTCTCCCTCGCTTTCTCCATCTCCAGGTGACGTTCACCAAGCGGAAGTTTGGCCTGATGAAGAAGGCGTATGAGCTGAGCGTGCTGTGTGACTGTGAGATCGCCCTCATCATCTTCAACAGCACCAACAAGCTGTTCCAGTACGCCAGCACTGACATGGACAAGGTCCTGCTCAAATACACAGAGTACAATGAACCACATGAGAGCAGGACTAACTCTGACATCGTGGAGGTGAGTCCCACACACAGCTTATTGCAGACTAATTCACGAACATGGTTTCCCATGTCTAATAGCAGATAAAAGGACTGATTATAAGTAAATGTTGAGTTTGTTGAATCAACAGTGGAATTCAGCTAGTCTGCTGGTATTTTGTGACATAGAGTACTCTTTTCAACTGTGTGTGGGTGTGTGTGTGTGTCTGTGTGTGTGTGTGTTGGGCTCATGGCCCACGGCTCAGGGAGGCTAACGTGTGCAGGGCTGAGTCTGAGTCGGCCAGCCTGGAGTTACTTAATGGTGTTAGAGAACAAGGTGTCCCCTCACACACACACACACATGTCCAACATCCCCATTCAACCCTCTTCAGGGCCACCCAGCGGACCATGGTCCATGTGACAGAGGTTAGGGGTCAGGGTTTAGGGATCAGAGTTCACAGGACAGGTGGGTTGGATTCCGGCTTTGGAACGTTGACAGGAATCTGTACCAGCTTGGAGGAGAGTTGTTGTGGTCTTATATAGGATACTGTTAAAGAGAAGGGAGAAGGAGAGAGAGAAGAGAGAGATCAGTGAAATATGTGTGTTCCCACACAGGCCATGAGCCTCCCATTGGGAGTAGTAGGAAAACTGGGCTGAATGGTAGAGTGCAGAGGGGGGTGGGGATGTTAATGTGTGGGAATGGGGACTTCTAGCACTGCAGAAAGCCGGGGGAGAGAGAGAGAGATATGCAGCTCAGTTTTGGGACTATTCCATTTGTTCCATTGTAAACCAGGCAAACTAAATCAACCAAGCTAAAATATTCCATAGTATTTCACATTTGAGCCAGATCTGATGGTTATGTGTTTGATGTGTCAGTGGTGTATAACGTGGTGTTTTGCCTGATAGCTGATGTTGTAACGTGGTGTGATGTAGGGTCAGGTCTCCCTCTTCACCTGTCCTCCACAAGGCCACCTCATGGTCAGTCAGCCAGCTCCGACAGGAGCAGCATATAATTTACTGTTAATCTACTGTAATCTACCATAATCCCATCACACTCATTACTGTAATCTCAATTTGCTCCTTCTAATCCCTCTCACTAAACGTCAACTCTCCTCTCCCTTCATCTCCTCTCCCCATCCCTCCTCTCTTTCCTCCCCTCCCTCTCTTCCTGGCTGACCAGGTCACCTCTAGTGTGTAGTCATCTGCTGGGGGACAAATAAATGATAATGGATCTTTTCCTCCTCTTTCTGCCTCATTTCCCTTTCCTTATCTCCTCCTCTCCTTCTCTCCTCCTCTCCCTCTCTCCCTCTCTCCTTCTCCTCCTTTCTCCATTCCTCTCTATGCCTATTTATTTCCTTCTAGATTGTTTGTGTTCCGTCTCTCTTTCCCCCTCTCTCTTTCCCCCTCTCCCGTTCCCTCTTCTTTCCCCATCCCTCCATCTCTCTCGCTCCAGTGTGTTTGGTTAGTTCAGTCTTGGCAGGGCCAGTCATTCTAACTGGTTTCCCCTCCAGCTCTCTACCACAGAGCTGATAGAGTTACTGTGACTTCATGCACACGCATGCCAGTGCATTCCTGTGCTCTGAGTTGTGTGCTCTGTTTGTGTGTGTGTATGTGTGTTGTTAGTGCTCTTAAATGTTTTCACCTACAAATAGGATGTTGTCCACACTGCTCACACCACAGACACAGAGCGCAACAATCTCGACAGACTAAAACATTTTAAAACAAAAATAATCCCAACTCAGTCTTTTTACTGGGTGTGTCCTGTCCTTCATAAATTGGTAATGACTTTCTATGTGCTAACAACAACATACCGGTATGTTTTTCAGCATCTCACACAGCTCCTGTGCTTTGTATTGGTTAAAACCTCATGACCTAGCTGTGAAACCCTGTAGCTGTAGAGCTATCTGCCTGACAGGAATGGAGCAGAAGAGAGTCTCCTTTGTCTGGGTTTCTTTCCCCAATAATGAGGGGTGTGTGTGTGTGTGTGTGTGTGTGTGTGTGTGTGTGCGTGCGTGTTTGTGTGTAAAAGAGCTTGTTGGATTTGTTGCTCGTGGATCAGGATCATGGCTATATATAACGGAGAACTTCTGAAATCCTCACCCCCTTTTCTACTAACCCTATTTTGCTCCATTCTGTGGTGTGTGTGTGTGTGTGTGTGTTTGTGTCTGTCGCAGATTGAAAACAGCTGAAGCTCTCAGTGAGGTTCGTCAAAAAGAACTTACAAAACACACACACACAGTCCAAGTGGTAACTCCAGCTCTCTTTGTGTAGTCGATTCCTTCCTGTTAAATGCCTGGAAACTAGCAGCAGGCTAAAAATAGACCACTGCTGCTAAGAATAGCCTCTGTGGGATGTGCGTATGAGTGTATGTGCGTAAGAGTTGTGTGTGTGTGTGTGTCTTGGCGGGCTGGCAGACATGAGGAGGAAAATAAAGGGGTCGTGTAACTTGGTCCAAAAAACTTTAGATTTCACCTAATTTTAACACTGTCATAAAGAGCACATATCCAACTTCATAAAAAAAACACGTTTTCCCATCTCAAGAGTTTAAATAAAAAAATGACTACAGTAAGTACCTATTATGTGCCAAATAAAGTAACAGGGTTGACTGTAACAGGGTTGACCATTTCATCTTAAATATTGTTTGTTGTGTGCAACAGGGAGGGGCAATTGAATGGAAGCTTCACAATTTAAAAAAATTATCTTCAAACATTTTTAGCCTGTCTATCGTAAGAGGGTTGAAGTGTTATGCGCGACCCGCTCAGTTTTCCAGAACCAGCTCACCTGCTTTTACACTATGATTTGACTATTAGATGTTAAATGTTTCTTTAAGAAAAAATATTTTAAAAGTAGTTTCACCATATTAAAATGAGAGTTCAGTTCACGTAACAGGGTTGACATTAAACTGAGGGACAGATGTAAATGAATCACTAATCACGTGAAATAAATAATAATCTTCAGAAAGGACTTTGTCAAAGTACCAAAAATAATGAGGGCTTTACACGATGGTGAAAACCAGTGCAGTCAAAAACGTGATCTTCCTGTGTTTTATATATATTTCCACACTGTGGTTGGAATAATACAGTGAAATTGTGAAAATTATGATAATGCCCTTTTGATGCTGTTTGAAAAGACCGCCTGAAATTTCAGCCTGTTTTGGTGGGATTTAGTTGTGGCCTGGCTGGTGACATCACCAGGCGGTAAATTAGTTCAAAGGTCGTTATCAGTAAAACGGCACAATACGGTGCAGAGAATTCGATTTGTCTGCTGGGGGGCAAGGAGACCCCCAGCTCCGCTAAAACCACTGACAAATAAGTTCTGTTTTCAAGGGAAAGTTAAATAAATGTTATGAGTATTTGGTTTTAATATCATCACCTCTTTAACATAATTGTTCCATGCAAAACTTAGCTAGATCATCAGAGTTATACAGCCATTAACTGCATGCTTTTCATGATCAGTACACATCAATTGATCATGTAATTTCAGATACGTGAGGGTAGCCTATCACTTTGGCATGTAACTAGCTAGCTAGCTAAGCAAACAAAATGTGTCATTTAACTTTCTTCATCAGAGATTGGACTTTTGGAAAGCTCTTGACATCGGCAAGTCCTCGTCCTGGTAAAGTTGTCAGTCAGACTTCTGTCATCACCACTATAGATGGCAAGCAAATCAAACAATATTTGCATATGGCCATCTAGTTTATCCACTGAAAGTTAGCTTGTTAACTAGCTATTATTGACGAGATCTGTTATTAGCTAGCCAATTTGAGAGGTATCATCAGGCTACCCTCACATATCTGAAATTACATGATCAATTGATGTTTACTGATCATGAAAAGCATGCAGTTACTTGCTGTATAACGTTGATGATCTAGCTAAGTTTTGCATGGAACAATCGGAAATGTGTAGTTCTGACCATGCTCTTCAAGAGGTGATGATGTTACAACCAAATAGTTAACATTTATTTAACAATCCCTTGAAAACAGCATGCAGCAGGCAAATAGACCAATAAGAAAGAGAGTTCCAAACCTCTCTGTCACTAACAGCTAGTTTTCAGTTCCCCCCTCCCCACTCAGACCACTCCCAGATAGCCCTAGCAAAATTATTGCTTGATAAATTGCTCTTTTGCTTTTTGATCATTTTAATTTAAAATAAGTAAGTTACTTAATTGTTACCCAGAAATGATTTTATGTTGAGATAAAAACAGCTGCATTGGACCTTTAAGTGGGTTCAAATATTCCTAGAAGTTACAGAGGGTGCATGAAACATAAAAATGCTCATATTAAAAATCTGATTTATTTAGTGATTTCTGTGTGTGTGTGTGTGCGTGCTTGTGTGTGTGTGAGTGTGTGGTAGAAATGTCCGCCTGTTGGGGTAAGAGAGGTGAGATGTTGTGAGAGTTGCACGTCATGTTCCCTGGCACACGAAGAGCTGCCTTGCACTCTGTGCCCTTGTAATTATGGCACATGCCATAATTGATATGGAAGTGGTTAGGAGACCAGACCACCCATAGGGGAGAAAGAACAACAGGGAGTTGAGGTGGAGGTGTAGACAGTTTAGGGTGGTTTGGAATGGGAGAATGGGGGTGTTCAGTGGTCTCTCTCTCTATGAATCTCTCTCTACTCTCTCAGATCTAGTCGATCTCTTACGTCTCCCTCTCTCTCCAGCTCTGATCACTCTCTAATCTCTCTCATTCGTCCTCATACGCGAAATTAGAGCCAATTCTCTCTGCAGTATCTCTCCTCTCACTCTCATCTCACGCTTCGTCTCTCTCTCTCCGCTCCTCTCTCGCGTTGACTTTATATCCTTCACTCCACCCCCCCCTCTCTCCTTCTCTTCTCTCTCCCTCTTTCTCTTCTCTCTCAGCTGTCTTCCCCTCTGAGCACCTATAGTCAGCTGTCCACTCAACCACCTACTGCCTTCACCTCTCACCACGCACACAAACACAAATACGCACCTCTCTCACCACACACACATGCTGCTCTCAAGGTTACACATTGCGGGCTGTGTATGCCAGGGCTCTGTGTAGAGCCACAGTATGGAGAGTCATGTATTCTGAAATACAGAGTACGAGTTGTTCACTTTCTTACTTTTCACGTGTGTACTGTCATTTCATTATTGTCTGGCTGATATGTTTTTCGTCAGTCATGGACATAGATAGTGTGTGATTGTGGGGTGGAGAGGCGAGAGAGGTGTGGGGGGAGAGAGTAACAGAAGGGAAGAGAGGGGTGGGGGTAGGGAGTGGGCATGAGAGAGACAGAGAGAAGGGGTAGTGGGGGTGAGAGGGACGGGGAGTGTGGGGACTGGGGTCGAGGGGTGCTCTGGCTGCCACAGAGGCAAAAAATAGCCATCTACGGCCATCCCTCAGGCGCAGAGCTGTGATTGGCTGAAGCTGGGCTCGGCCACTCCCCCTCCCCGTGTTGGCCAGTGACAGGTGGGCATGACTGGGCAATACTGTGCTGGGCCTGCCACAGGTTGTGTGTTGCGTGTGTGTGTGTGTGTGTGTGTGTGTGTGTGTGTGTGTGTGTGTGTGTGTGTGTGTGTGTGTGTGTGTGTGTGTGTGAGATAGCTGTAGTGGTCTAGTGATAGGCCAGTGCTAGGCTGTAAAGTGCTGAGACACGACAAAGTTGAGACAAACTGCATACAGTACATATACATGAACACACACACAGACACACACACACACACACACTAGGGGAAAGCATCACAGCTCCATCGACATTATCAGCAGTGATAAGAGAGGCCTACTCTTTCCACTCTACTCTCTCTCTCCCCCCTCTTTTCTCCTCTCATCTCTCCAAATCACTGCCTACCACCCTCTCACTCTATTTCCTTAACAAACAATTATTATTTTTTCTCTGTCACTTTGTCTACTCTCCCTCTCTTCTCCTCTCATACTGTATTTCAATGAGAGTATGTATCTGTCAAGTGTTATAGCGTCTCTTGGTGGTAGTCAAGGGGACTGCAACGCTTCAGGGATCTAGAATAACTGTTGTGATTTAATCACTGACAATTATTTTGTAACAGTAGCGTTAATAGACTCTCAAGCAATTTGCAGACTATCATTAACTTTTGTTTTCTCTCTCTCTCTCACTCTCACTCAGACTCTGCGAAAGAAGGGTCTAAATGGCTTTGACAGTCCCGACATCGAGGCAGACGACTCTGCTGGTCAGAGCCCTGAGTCAGAGGACAAATACCGCAAGATCAACGACGACATCGACCTCATGATCAGCAGACAGAGACTCTGTGTAAGTACTAACTGGACTTGTGTGTGTGTGTGTGTGTGTTCAGTCTTACCACTTCTCCATTTGCCTTGCTAACCCTGTCTTCTCTCTGTCTCTGTCCAGCAGGCTCTCCCCCCCTCTAACTATGACATGATTGGCTCCATCCAGGGCCAAAATAACAGCGGACTACTCTACTCTCAACCTGGGGCGGGGGGGTCCTTAGGAAACCACAATCTGCTGCCCCTCTCACACACACACACTGGCCTGCAGAGGAACAGCATGTCGCCTGGACTCCAACACACACACCGACCCCTCAGCGCTGGAAATGCAGGAGGGATGATGGGTTCAGAGCTGTCTAACACGGTCTCTAACGCTGGTGAGTTAACTATCGCGATGCACCTAAATATTTCACGGTGTGATGTCTTGTGCATTAACCGTGCTTTTCATCATGTTATGATTCCTATTAAACCTAGGTAAAACAAGAAAAACTGACAGTATTCTCCTCTGTCTGTCTCCTAGGTAATGGTAGCTATGGTAACCACCGCAACTCTCCGGGGCTTCTGTCTCCTGGATGCGTGGCCAAAGGCATGCAGGCCAAGACTCCACCCCTGATGGCCTCCATGACCCTGAGTGGTAACCGCAAGCCAGACCTCCGTACGCTGCTGCCCCCTGGCAACAAAAACAACGTGCCCTCCGTTGTGAGTAATCTCCTCTTTCTCCATCTCTATCTCTCGTCCTCTCGCCTCTCAGACAGATGTCAAACACTTACCTGACCCCTCTTGAACAGTTCTTCACACTGTACACTCAGACACTAATATGAGTTGTATTGCTTTTCAATGCTGCCAGTGCGAGGACTTTGACATGATGCTGGTGAGTAGTGTGACATCACACTACTAGACAACATGTGGAAAGTTACACAGATTATCTGTTTGTATGTCTAGAATGAAATGGAGATCCACATACTTCTACCTATAAGTGTGCTAATGTTTGTTTATTGTTTTTTTCCAGAACCAGAGAATAAACCACTCCCAGTCAGCCCAGTCTTTGGCTACTCCTGTGGTCTCCATAACAACACCTACTCTGCCCGGGCAGGGTATAGGAGGGTACCCCTCTGCCCTCTCCACCTCCTATGGCACAGGTATGCACTCCTCCTCTCCTCTCTTCCTCCTCCCCTCCTCCTCCTCTCAAAATCACTGCACCACATTAGGAATAGGAAGCCATTTTCGATTTGCCCAAGGTTTGTAACCTTTCTCCCCACTCCCCCTGTGTAGAGTACTCTCTGGGTGACCTGAGCTCTCTGTCAGGGTTTGGAGGGAACGGCTCTGGATCACTTCACCTGGGATCAGTAACAGGCTGGCAGCAACAACAGCTACAGAACATGCAGCACTCAGCACTAGGACACATGGGGTGAGGGTGTGTGTGTGTGTGTCGCTGTGTGTCTCTGTGTGTCTCTGTGTGTGTTTGTGTCTGTGTGTCTTTTTCTCGGTGTGTGCTTGTGTTTGTGTATTTCTTCTCCCTCTTTCTAATCACTATCTCTCCTCTCCTCCATCAGAAACCTTTGTCAGAACTCCAACCTCAACCTCCAGAATGCCCATCAGAACCTTCACATCAAGTCAGAGCCCGCCTCCCCGCCCAGAGATCGAGGCATCGGATTTGTCAGCGGAGGGATGGGGGCCGTGTCCCAGGGCTACCCAACAAATCTGGGCCCAGCAGAAGCAGGGCGGTCTCCTGGCAACAGCCTATCCAGCTGTGGGAGCTCATACGACGGCAGCGACCGCGAGGATCACCGCGGAAATGACAACTTCCTGCTGCGCCCGATGTCCAATCAGGAGGAGCGCCATAGCCCGTCCGTCAAACGCATGCGCCTATCAGAAGGCTGGGCTACATGATAAGGCCCGCCCCTGATTCACAGAGGGGGAGGGGCTTGTGTAGAGTTACCTTTAGTGTTACTATGACTATTATTAATCCAGTGTCCAAAATGGTACCCTATTTCCTACATAGTGCTCTTGCCAAAAGTAGTGCACTTTATAGGGAATATGGTGTGATTTCAGATTTGGCCTATATTCTTCTTGTGCAGAGTGAGAGTGTTCCACTATAACAGGGACATTATATACAGGAGTGTGGGGGGGGGGGTTATAACAGTGACATAGACTGTGTCTGAAATGGCACCCTATTTCCCATGTAGTGCACTACCTTTGGCCAAAAGTAGTGCACTACATGGGAAATAGGGAGTTACTTGAGACAGCAGTGACATACAGGAGTGAGGGTTGATATGGTGTGGGGGAGTCAGTGTTGGAGGGTGGGTGCAGCGTTGCTTGTGTTGTGTGTTTGTGAGGGAGGGAATACCTAAATTAATATGTACACTATGTAAACTAACTAAGAAAGGTTGAAGATGTCTGGTACTCTGTATGGCCAAGCTACTGGTGAGTTCAGTAATGTACTAGGAGACACAAGGACAGGCACTGAGGAGTGGACACGTCATGGTGTGTTTGTGTGTGTGTACGTGTGTGTATGTGTGTGTGTGTGTATGAATGAGTGTCTACATGTGTGAATGTGTGCACACTGGTGTGTGTGTGTGTGTGTGTGTGTACTATGTACTACCTAGGCCTAGTCTGCAGATGGCTGACTAGCAGACAGATAGTGTGAGTGTTCACTACAACTCACGCATGTTGCAGGTTCAACGTATTAATGTATATAACGAGGGAGGATAGGTAGAGAAAGAGAGAGAACGAGAAAGGGACAGACTGATAGAGGAAGGAAGAAAGAGAGAGATGGAGGGAAGGAGAAATGGATAAACAGGGGGGAGAGAAAGATGGAAAGAAAAGAGAAAGAAAGGAAGAGAGCGATAGAGGGAGAAAGAGACAGAGAAAGAGGACAGTGATTGGGGGAGAAAGAGACAGAGAAAGAGGACAGTGATAGGGGGAGAAAGAGACAGAGAAAGAGGACAGTGATGGGGGAGAGAAGAAGGAAGAGGACAGTGATAGGGGGAGAGAAGAAGGAAGAGGACAGTGATAGGGGGAGAGAAGAAGGAAGAGTGGGAGAAAGACATTATGCAAAAGGTTGCACAGAGCTGGAAAAATAGAATAAGAAGTCATTCTAATATTCCAATTCTACGGCTGGAACCCTGGACAACTATAATATCTCACTTGATGTGAAGAACCTTAGGAATCGTAGTTCAATTCAGTCAAAATAATTTTTAAGAGCCATATGCTAACAAATATAATCTGAGTCGTATACACTACAGTGTTACTCATCCAGATGTACAATACAGTTTGTGTTATGTAAGAAATGCTTTGTTTAGTCGATTGAGCCAGTGTGTGTGTGTGGTGTGTGTGTGTGTGTGTGTGTGTGTGTGTGTGTGTGTGTGTGAGAGTGAGTGAGTGAAAGAGTGAGTGAGTGAGTGAGTGAGTGAGTGAGTGAGTGAGTGAGTGAGTGAGTGAGTGAGTGAGTGAGTGAGTGTGTGAGTGAGTGTGTGAGTGAGTGATAGCCTAGCCTGTTTTAGCATGCAGAGAGGCAAAGCCACGGGGAGGAAGGGGTGTGAGTTTAGACAAACAAAACTCCTAAAGCCATATTATAAGATGGGAAGTCGATGCTTTGCTGCACATACCAGTGGTTTCTCTTTATAGTCTCATGTCATGTCATTTTGAAAAAGTATATTCCTACCTAATTCTATAAAATCATTTTAAGAATATTTTGTAAAAACGTCTGTGACATTAAGGATGCCTATAGTTCTCTAAAGTATATTTAAAATAATGACAACATTGTTAAAATATAGATAAAACCTTTCTTCTCAGTGGGGGTTATTATGTAGCTATGTGCAGGTGCACATATTTTCTATCGATCTCAAACATTCAGGGAAATGTTTCGTTAAAGCTTCTCAACCTGCCACCGATGTTAGCATGTTAGCCTGGTTACAGATTCTTTAGGAAAGGTTGCTTCGACACCCAGATTAAACATACTCCTGGACTAAAAAGCTAAATGGAGAATCTCCATTGAAAGTGTGTGATAATCCAGGAATAGGCTAAATCGGGGTCTGGGAGATCTAATCTAAGGCTGCAGAGTCAATGTATAGACAGAGCAATTGCTGAACGGCTGCCTCTCCTCCCTTCAGACAGTTTTATATGATGTCAGATATTATTACTAAAAAGACAGGAAACCCACCTAGAAGCACAACTTCTGACTTTGAAAGTCACATTTGTTCCATTTTGCCAGGTTGCAATACAATACAATACTGATTGATGTCAGTAGACTACAAGAGGGCAGAGCCCCACAATGGGTTATAGACTAACCAACAGCCTGATGCTATCCCACTCACCTAACTCATCAGAGCTAATGTTTTCATTTTATTTTATTTTTCTTCGTTATTAGATTTATTTGTCTGTACTGCTAAAATCTGCAATTTACCTGTACCTCAAATGTACTCCACACATTTTCATAGCATGTTGGTTTGAGTGGGATTCTGAGAATGTTGTATAAATTGATTAAATCAATAGGTCTACTCCATGCAATATCCACTTCAGTTATATAATGTTAATGTTTTGTGACAGAATTAGGACTTTACATCTCAATAAGGTAATTCTATATCTGAGTTAGGGTCCCTGGATGATTTGGCTGTAAGGCCCTATGTTGGATTCTGTTCTTTAAATTAACTTTATAACACTACTAACCACATGGCAGTGGGTAGTGCACTCAGAGAGTGTGTGTCATTAGGCCTCCTAATCCAGACATGAGACGTCTTTTTGAGGTGAATGTTTGGATGCTACAAGGCTCCAAGCGGCAGAAGCAGGCCTTTGTCGCCACTTGAAGACAAAATGTTTCTCACCGAAGGAAGGGAGCTAACGTCTGTACTACTCGGCCAACGGAAATAAACATGTATGTTCCAGCACAGGCAATTAAATTAAATGGTATTTGTATTTTGCAGACAAACTCAGTAAATATACAGGCTCTTTACTTTTAAACACGTCTCTGTGTGGTTTGTTTGACTCCCATGACTCCTGTTTCTGTTCCTCCACTATCACCACGTTTTCTCTCTCTCTCTCTAACTTCACTCCTACTTTTAGTTACTTATTTGTTTGACTTGTGGTGAAAGGTAAACTAAGGTCAAAACATTTTTCTAATACTTTATCAGTGTGTCATAAACCTCTCATGTCAAGTGAAACTGGTTCAACTACTAACACAAGGCTAAATGTTTTCTCCTGTCTAGAGAAGGATAGGACAAAACTTTAGATCAAGTTTTGTTTTATATACTGGAAGACTCTGTTTTAGCCTAAATTACATAGGGTGGAGATCAGAGGAGGCTGGTGGGAGGAGCTATAGGAGTACAGGCTGATTGTAATGGCTGGAATGGATTAAATGGAACCGCATCAAACATATTGAAACCATGTTTGACTCCGTTCCATTTTAAATCATTCCAGCCATTACAATGAGCCCAACCTCCTATAGCTCCTCCCACCAGCCTCCTCTGGTAGAGATAGAGGTTTGAAACCAATCTGAAGAGATGTGTGTGACAATCTGTCCTGTCTGGTTCTTGGTATACACTGAGTGTACAAAACATTGCTCTTTCCATGACATAGACTGACCAGGTGAATCCATTATCCCTTATTGATGTCACTTCAGTCAGCGTAGATGAAGGGGAGGTGACAGGTTAAAGAAGGATTTTTAAGCCTTGAGACAATTGAGACATGGATTGTGTACGTGTGCCATTCAGAGGGTGAATGGGCAAGACAAAATATTTAAGTGCCTTTGAACGGTGTATGGTAGTAGCTGCCAGGGGCACATGTTTGTGTCAAGAATTAAAACGCTGCTGGGTTTTTCATGGTCAACCGTTTCACACCACAAAAGATTACAACCAAACACTTAATCAAGTATAAAGATTCCAGATGGTTAGTGTATGATACATTACTGCATTTTCAATATATTCCACAGATTAAACATGCTTAGAGAGAAGGATAGTATGGAGTCTCCTGCTCCCAGCTGTCAGTCTATGAGTGATTGGTCAATGGACGCACCTGAAAACTTAAAAGGAGGAGTTTGTCTCCCTGATCTATGGTAAGAGCATGGAAACAGTAGCCTGGAATCCAAACTGAATGGTTCTGTTTCACTATTGTATGTTTCAAATTGTTTGGTGCAATGATTATTTTTTAAACACTTGCTTATTTTGTTTTCATTGTATAGTGTGTTTTTAGTTGATGCATAGTGTTTCTAAAAAGAGGAAGATGGAATTTTCTGATGAGATTTCTATACTGAAGAAGATCATCTATAAACTGGAGCAGGAGAACTCTGAGCTGAAGAAAGGATACCTAGAGGTGATGCAAGGAGAAGGTCAGTATCACAATGACTTCACAGAGTTATGAGTCTCAGGTTATTACTAAGTCTAATAAGTCACATCTCCTCTTGTGCCTGTCCTCCAATTTGTCTTTCTCAGGCTGGGTTGAGGTACCAGCTTTGGGTCACCCCATTCATCCTGGAATGCTGTATGTCTGTCGCTCCGAGTCCTTCAGACCAGGTATTTGCAGAATCTGCAGAACAATATCTTGCACTGCGTTTCCTGACATCAAAGGCATTTTCACATTAGACTATCAAATATCAACCCATATTGAATCTACCCTGTGTGACCATTATCTGACTGTCTTTCAGGGATTTTATAATAAAGAAATGTCTGACTTGATCTCTTCTCCTCAGAATCCTTGTGGGCCTCAGACTCTGTAGTGTATGGGAAAATATCACTGCCGATTCCAACCACTGAGACCCAGGTAACAGAGACAGACTCTCTGCAGGAGAGGTTCATAGCTCTGACACTGGATCAGCCAGTATCTAAACCATTCACTCCTGTATGATGTGAATCCTTGCAGCTATTTGACTCTGCACTATAAGAGAACCACGAGACTGGATCTGCAGACTCCCTCCCTTTTAGAGAAGCAGATTCATCCTGAAGTGATTCAGCAGCAAACAGCCACACATGCAGTCATTGCCGTGACATACGGAGCTCAGGCCTTCCTTGTCCTTAAGGGTTTCTCATCTCGGAAGAGAAGGGAATTAGTGAAAATGCTGAAGAACATGATTCCAACTTGTTCAGCAGAGGACGGAGCTCCAGAGCTACTGGTACCTGAACATCCCAAAAACTATTTCCCTGGTCTCTACTGCGCTTACTATGGAGATCTTGAGGCAGAGAAAGTGGTCAGGGGTTACAGACAGATAGTAGACCTTTGGAAGTCCCTCCCTGAGCAGCTGGTGCCCAGTGGAGAGAAGGCTGGTCCTCTGAAAGTTTAGCTCTGCCCTCTGAAGAACCAACACCCTAAAGCAGCCTGCGTTAGGAAAATGATCCAGACACAGGCATTGTGGTGTGTTTTACTCTCACATCTCTGGGTGAAACAGACCTGTGTCTCTCGTCCCTGACACAGTATCTTCAATCGCTACAGAAACAAACACAGACCAGGCCCACGCACCTCTACCAGAACACTCAACTACCGTGGTTCAAGTCTGAGGAGAACAAGAACAGAGTAGGAAAATTATCACAATCATTCAGGTCTTAAATGGTTCTTACCGAGGCCAGACAAAACTGGAAACTCAAGTTCACTGCAGGCTCCATCACAGATGATTCGACTCCTGGAGCCTCCATCTGTCTCTACCAGGGAGGTAGGTTAGTGGACTCTGACTATGAGCCTTTGTCAAAACCTGACCCTGTTCAGATAACAGACAGACAGCCGAGCAGCATCACTCTGATTTTACCACCGTCAAAGACTGGACGCACTGACAGGCTCAGAGTGGAGTACAGACCTGTCAGAACTGATCTATTTCCCTGTGTAGGGAAGTGGAGATACTTGGAGACCAGAGATAATGGGGAAGACTGTGTGATATCAGGCCTGGAGAGAGACACGCAGTTCCAGATCAGACATGTAGCAGTGGACAGGGTAGGAGTTGGTGAGTTCAGTGACATCACTGTAACAGAGACTGTGTCAGGGTCTGGGCCTGGGCATCCCATAGTCCTGTCAGCAGACAGAAACTCAGACAGTCTGTCCTGGTGTAGCCAAGCGGAGGCTGGAGAGGCTGTAGAGGGACGTCCTGTGCTCTGCTACAGACTGGAGGACAGATAGGAAGGACAGGAGGAGTAGGCCTCACTGCTAACAGACGGGGATGAGTGTGTTGGCTCCCTAACCACACACACATCCTGCAGAGTCCAAGTGTGTGCCATCTATGGTGAGGGAGACCCAGCGAGGAAACAGTAATTCCTCATACAGGTACAGTACAGTTATGTTGGGAAAACAGTTATGTTGTTAATAACACAGATGGAATCATGCCCCAGTTCCAGTTTGTACGGATCTAGTTCAAAGTGGTTCAAAGCCAAAAGACACATTTCCATTTTCTGCAAATAAAGTTATTATTTTAGCTACACAGGGAGATTTGTACATCTTAATGTACTTGACATTTGATATGACAGACATTAACAGAGAGGGCTATTTCTGACATTGATAACATTTCCCAAATTTCTTTTGTCTTTACTCTCAACAGCTGATGTGACTCTGGACCATCATACAGCTCACTATAGTTTGATATTGTCTGATGATGGGAGGATAGTGAAACAAGGAGATGAGACGAGTGTCCCTGATAATCCACAGAGATTTAATAAGAATCAGGGGTGTCCTAGCCAAAGATGGCTTCTACTCTGGACGACACCTCTGGCAGGTGGATGTGAATAAACTCTGGTTGTAGGAGTGGCCAGAGAGTCTGCTCAAAGGAAAGATATCGGAACTTACTCGCCAGAGCACGTTTACTGGTGTCTAGAATGTTTTTTTGACTCCAGTCTTTACGACCCCATTACTGGCTGTACTGGAGTGTTGGGTGTGTGTGGAGGTTGAGGAGAGGTGGGTCTCCTTTTACAATGCTGAGTCCAGGGCTCACATCTACACTTTCACTGACTTCACTGAGAGAGAGAGAAGATCTACCCCTTTTGAAGTTAATGGAGAAGGCTTTGTGATCCAGAAGCTGAGATAAAGCCTGGCAACTGGAGGGCTACTGGGTTCACATCCTCAAGACATTCCCCTACTGTTGAGCCCTTGGGCAAGGCCCTTAACCCCACAACAATGCTTTCCATCCAGGGGAGATGCACTGCAGCTTGACCCAGTGCTCGTCTCAACTGAACGGAGCAGAAGACACATTTCTCTTGTTCGCTGTAACATATGGACAATAAAGTTGTAATTATTCTAAAACATAATATTAAGGTAAAATGGACCCAAATTCGAACACAGGAAGCTAAACTTGAGGGTGCTTTCTATTTGGTAAACCTGTGTGCTCTCTCCAGCCAATCACCATCGTCAACAGATAAATTAAGTGCTGTGGAAAAACTAAACCCAGAAACAGGACAGTGGAAATCAGTTGTCTAAACCTTTAAAATTGTAACGATAATTGTACAAGTTTGCAACTGTTATTGAGAAAATAAAACATCTGAATGTAAACTATTGGGACTGGAACTGAGTTTCACTCCAATGTCAGGCCTGTCAGAGGAAACTTTTGCCCAATCCCATTTCAACATAGGGGATGGTTCTCATTCTGCCCAGCAGATGGAGACAAAACCTTAGGAACAGTACCCTACTGCAGGTACTGGAAGATTAGTACATACTAAGACTGATCATCATTGAGGATCTACCAGCTTGTGTAACTGCTGTAGTTCATACAAGGGCACATCACCTATTTGGCAGGAGAGGGAAAAATAGTATTCATATGGGGTCATTTCATAACTCTCTACCTCCTCCCCATCTCTCTTCTCCCTCCATCTCTCTCCCTCTTCTCCCCCTCTGAGTGAAGCGTTGGCACCAATGAACCCATTTATGACCAGGCCTAGTTCCTCCAGCCAAGTCAAACAGCCTCCCAGTGCTTTAATCATGGCCTAAAAAGCTAACCTCTTGCCCGACCCCACCTTGCCCCTGCATCCTCCCCCGGATCCCACCACCCTTATCCCCAAACCCACCTATCCCACCACCACCCCTACCCCTATCCCCTGCACAGATGCTGCATTCAGAACCAAGTTGTGTTTCCCGTAAGCAAAACTCTCACTGGTTTCTCTGTGTCGTGTTCATACACTCAGCGTTCTTGAACAAGAACACAGTTATCCAGACTCTCTCCATCACACACACACGATACACATACAACTCGTCTTAACTTCATCCATTTGGGCCATTATGGGTAAAACATCTCCTCTCCTCCTCATGGGACCATTCTGGCCTTATTGGTATGATGTCATCAAAAAGATGCATGCAGCCAGCTCTGTATGTTCACATAGGCCAGGCTACACTCTTAGAATTTTAATTGCTATCTGGAACATTAAAGGGTTCTTTGGCTGTCCCCATAGGAGAACACTTTGTATAACCCTTTTTGGTTGCAGGTAGAACCCTTTGGGAGAGAACTCGACTTTTCATGAGTGCCTCATTATGGGAATTCAAAGGATTATCTGGAACCAGAAAGGGTTCTACCTGGAACCAAAAAGGGTTATCTTATGGGGATAGCCGAATGAAACATTTTGGAATCCTTTTTTCTAAGAGTGTACTGAATATGCCCTTTATCCTGGGAAACAAGTACTATTATTTATTTGGCCTATTTTGTTTCCATTTATTACTATAATTAGGTTATACATTCATTTTCATTAATCAGGAGATTATTGTGATGGCTAAGCTACAACTTTAGGTTAGGCCATTATAGCTACTGAATGGGTGGTCAAGCAGCCGAAGTGAGATACTGTGCAGCATCACTGCGGTGAAGCTAAGCAGAGAAGAGGCGGTAGCGCTCAACCTCAGAATCCCTTTGCTTTTGTCTGTCTATTTATCTGCGCAACAAACTCGCATCTCTGGATAAACTGACTGACAGACAGCTTGTGAGGAGTCGCCTACATCATCAGCATCATCATTATCATCACAGCGGCCTCTGCAGCGAAGGCGGAGGAGAGGAGGCGAGAAAAAGAAGATACGCTTTCTGCCCTTTGTTTTGGTTTTGACCGCGGGGGAAAGCTGTAACTCTGAGATGCTCCCGCTATTGTCCCTCGCGGTGCTGTGCATCGGTGGGGCTGTGCCTCGGCAGGTGAACGGTGAGTGCATGAGGATACTGACGAATGTAAACAAACAACAGTTTCGTCATCCCTCTGAGATGATGGGGTGAATGTTAGTGCGTAGTTTTCTAATGGATTGAGATGCGGCCTCAGATGCCGTTGATACTTTGAGGGAACACAGGGAGGATATTCTCTAGAATAAATAACTGCGTGTATCTTTATACACTCGTGTTGTTGTTGTTGTTGTTGTTGTTGATGTGATGTAACTTAGCCTATCAAAGCCATATCTGAACTTAATTGTTCAGAGAATTTCAAGTTGAAATTCTGCAAGAAGATGATGATGAGTGTGTGTGTGATATGTAAATACAGTGTGTGATGCCTGTACCCTGGGGGCTGTGTGGCCCTCTCATTGGGGTGTTGCTAAGATGATCTGACAGCTACTCTCTCTCTCTCTCTCTCTCTCTCTCTCTCTCTCTCTCTCTCTCTCTCTCACTCTCTCACTCACTCACTCTCTCTCTCTCTCTCTCTCTCTCTCTCTCTCTCTCTCTCTCTCACTCTCTCACTCACTCTCTCTCTCTCTCTCTCTCTCTCTCTCTCATCAATTCAATTCAATTCAATTCAATTTCAATTTCAATTTCAATTTCAATTTAAGGGCTTTATTGGCATGGGAAACGTATGTTAACATTGCCAAATCAAGTGAAGTAGATAGTGAACAAAAGTAAAAGATACAATAAATATTAACAAAATAATGAAGACATTTCAAATGTCATATTATGTATATATGCAATGTTGTAATGATGTGCCAATAGTTCAAGTACAAATGGGAAAATAAATAAACATAAATATGGGTTGTATTTACAATGGTGTTTGTTCTTTACTGGTTGCCCTTTTCTTGTGGCAACAGGTCACAAATCTGGCTGCTGTGATGGCACACTGTGGTATTTCACCCAGTAGATAAGGTTTATCAAAATTGGGTTTGTTTTCAATTCTTTGTGGATCTCTGTAATCTGAGGGAAATATGTGTCTCTAATATGGTCATACATTTGACAGGAGGTTAGGAAGTGCAGCTCAGTTTCCACCTCATTTTGTGCATTATTTGGTGTTTTTCGGTGTACACAGAGGATATTTTTGCAGAATTCTGCATGCAGAGTCTCAATTTGGTGTTTGTCCCATTTTGTGAATTCTTGGTTGGTGAGCGGACCCCAGATCTGGGTTCTATAACTGATTCAAGTATTTTTAGCCAGATCCTAATTGATATGTCGAATTTTATGTTCCTTTTGATGGCATAGAAGGTCTTTCTTGCCTTGTCTCTCAGATCGTTCACAGCTTTGTGGAAGTTACCTGTAGCACTGATGTTTAGGCCGAGGTATGTATAGTTTTTTGTGTGATCTAGGGCAACGGTGTCTAGATGGAATTTGTATTTGTGGCCCTGGCAACTGGACCTTTTTTGGAACACCATTATTTTTGTCTTACTGAGATTTACTGTCAGGTCCCAGGTCTGACAGAATCTGTGCAGAAGATCTAGGTGCTGCTGTAGGCCCTCCTTGGTTGGTGACAGAAGCACCAGATCATCAGCAAACAGTAGACATTTTACTTCAGATTCTAGTAGGGTGAGGCCGGGTGCTGCAGTCTGTTCTAGTGCCCTCGCCAATTCGTTGATATATATGTTGAAGAGGGTTGGGCTTAAACTGCATCCCTGTCTCACCCCACGGCCCTGTGGAAAGAAATGTGTGTGTCTTTTGCCAATGTTAACTGCACACTTGTTGTTTGTGTACATGGATTTTATAATGTCATATGTTTTTCCCCCAACCCCACTTTCCATCAATTTGTATAGCAGACCCTCATGCCAATTTGAGTCAAAAGCTTTTTTGAAATCAACAAAGCATGAGAAGACTTTGCCTTTGTTTTGGTTTGTTTCTTTGTCAATTAGAGTGTGCAGGGTGAATACGTGGTCTGTCATACGGTAATTTGGTAAAAAGCCAATTTGACATTTGCTCAGTACATTGTTTTCACTGAGGAAATGAACTAGTCTGCTGTTAATGATAATGCAGAAGATTTTCCCAAGGTTGCTGTTGACGCATATCCCACGGTAGTTATTGGGGTCAAATTTGTGGATTGGGGTGATCAGTCCTTGGTTCCAAATATTGGGGAAGATGCCAGAGCTAAGGATGATGTTAAAGAGCATAGCCAATTGGAATTTGTTCATTCTCTCTCTCTCTCTCTCTCTCTCTCTCTCTCTCTCTCTCTCTCTCTCTCTCTCTCTCTCTCTCTCTCTCGCTCTCTCTCTCTCTCTCTCTCTCTCAGGGGATGAATGTGAACCTGTGTCATGTGAGGGTGATGCAGACTGTTTCACCCCCCAGCCAGAGGAGGCGCTACTCTTATGTAAGTACAGGAGGACTTTGGGATCAATATTTACAGTAATCAACTGTATCAGCACATGATTAGAGAAAACACTATCAACACTACAAATCGATCTCTATCTTTCTACAGCAACTCCAGGCTGGGAGGAGCCGATTATAGCAGGTAAGAAGCCTGCCTAATCCCAAATAGCCTCTAGCCCCTCGTCCCCTCCCAGATCTGAAATGATTGGATAGGTGTAATCAATTTACCCATTTATTAACGATTACCTATTTGATCCTATTACATCTACATGAAGTGCACAGACATCTCTAATCTCTATATTAGTTTAACACAGCCACTGACAGTGACCACTGATTCCTTCATCAAACAGTACAATGACCCCCAATCTGTTCAACTGCCTTTGTTCTTAATCAAGACATCACTCTCTTCTCTGAGGTCCATTATATTATGTGTGTGTGTGTGTGTGTGTGTGTGTGTGTGTGTGTGTGTGTGTGTGTGTGTGTGTATTGTTTTAGATAATCCCTCATTAGTCCGTACTAGCTGTTGTAGGAACTCCACAGTGAGGGCAGTCTTTGTTTTGTGATGTGTCTGTCATAGCTAATCACACACACACACACACACACACACACACACACACACACACACACACACACACACACACACACACACACACACACACACACACACACACACGTGTCCATGGTTGTGTGAGCGTAGCCTCCCATAGGGCTAGCAGGGTAATATTAGCTGGTCTAATATAACTACTCTGACCTATATCCCTGTGCTGATCATGGGACAGACAGTGAATTTAAAACAAAAAATAAATATGTTGTATTGTCATATACACCGGATAGGTGCAGTGAAATGTGTTGTTTTACAGGGTCAGCCATAGTAGAATGATGCCCCTGGAGCAAATTAGGGTTAAGTGCCTTGCTCAAGGGCACATCGACAGATTCTTTTTTTAAACCTTGTCGGCTCAGGTGTTCGAACCAGCGACCTTTCGGTTACTGGCCCGACGCTCTATTTACTTGTGCTTAGCACTTGTGCTTAGTGTAGAAAACCAATTGATCCCAATACGTTTTTGTGTCCAGGTCTGTGCCAGCCCAGTCCATGCCACCATGGGGGTGTGTGTGAGACCACTAATGCCCAACGAGGTGATGCCTTCCTGGGGTACCACTGTCACTGCTCCCCTGGCTACTCTGGAACCCACTGCCAACACAGTAAGACACATTCACACGCACACACGCACACGCACACACAGACACAGACACACACACACTAACCCAGGGGGACAGCTTGTCTAATGACTGAGAGGGTCTCTAATGACTGAGAGGGTCTCAGGTCCCCCAGGCTGGAGGGAGTGGCTTAATCTGTCCATTCTTAATGAGGTCACTCAGTGGGGGTTACGCTGATGAAGTCATACACACGTCCTCACGCTTTCATGGGTATGATGAGTTATGGCGGCTTACACACGGTGAACGCGCTCGCGAACACACACACTCAACAATATAGTACCACCCACATGAAAAAATACTACAGTTTACTATAGAATACTACAGTATTACTATAGAATTCTGTAGTAAACTGTCGTATACTGGAGAATACTATACTTCACACTGTAATACCCCTCAATCATGTGTAGTGCTTACTATAGAATGTTGTAGTATACTGTAGAATACTATTGTAAATACTACAGCATTATCCACTGTAGTAAATACTATTGTAATGTCCGCAAAAACACTACAGTCCGGGAAAACACTACACTTTTTTGACTGTAGTAAATACTACAGTATTTAATTTGCATATACCTTTGCCCATTCCCCTCAGACAATATCCCAATTTGTGCTACCCATAAGTGAGAAACCTACATGCCAAATATGGACCATATTGTGTTCCATACAGGCTATAGAAAAGAGCAGCAAACTCTGAACTATCCGTTCAGACCCCGGTCCTACCTACCTACCTACCTACCTACCTACCTACCTACAGGTTATGGAATTATTTTCCAGTAGGTTTTCTCAAGGAGAAAATGCCAAAGATAATAAAACAAAAACAGTAAAGTAAATACTACAGTTATGTCTGAAAAAAAACCATGAGTAAATACTACAGTATATCGGAGTCCGCAAAAACACTACAGTAAATACTAAAGTATACTACAATCCGCAAAAACACTACATTAATTACTATACAGTAAATACCCCCCTTGGCATTTTTGCCTTACAACCTGGAATTAAAATGGATTTTTGGGGGGTTTGTATCATTTGATTTCCACAACATGCCTACCACTTTGAAGATGCACATTTTTTTGTGTTAAACAAACAAGAAATAAGTAAAAAAAAAAAAAGCAGAAAACTTGAGCATGCATAACTATTCACCCCCGCAAAGTCAATACTTTGTAGAGCCACCTTTTGCAATAATTACAGCTGCAAGTCTCTTGGGGTATGTCTCTACAAGCTTGGCACATTTAGCCACTGTGATTTTTGCCCATTCTTCAAGGCAAAACTGCTCCAGCACCTTCAAGTTGGATGGGTTCCAATGGTGTACAGCAATCTTTAAGTCATACCACAGATTCTCAATTGGATTGAGGTCTGGGCTTTGACTAGGCCATTGCAAGACATTTAAATGTTTCCCCTTAAACCACTCAAGTGTTGCTTTAGCACTATGCTTAGGGTCATTGTCCTGCTGGAAGGTGAACCTCCATCCCAGTCTCAAATCTCTGGAAGACTGAAACAGGTTTCCCTCAAGAATTTCCCTGTATTTAGCGCCATCCATCATTCCTTCAATTCTGACCAGTTTCCCAGTCCCTGCCGATGAAAAACATCCCCACAGCATGATGCTGCCACCACCATGCTTCACTGTGGAGATGGTGTTCTCGGGGTGATGAGAGGTGTTGATCTTGCGCCAGACATAGCGTTTTCCTTCATGGCCAAAAAGCTCAATTTTAGTCTCATCTGACCAGAGTACCTTCTTCCATATGTTTGGGGAGTCTCCCACATGCCTTTTGGCAAACACCAAACATGTTTGCTTATTTTTTTCTTTAAGCAATGGCTTTTTTCTGGCCACTCTTCCGTAAAGCCCAGCTCTGTGGAGTGTACGGCTTAAAGTGGTCCTATAAACAGATAATCTCCGCTGTGGAGCTTTGCAGCTCCTTCAGGGTTATCTTTGGTCTCTTTGTTGCCTCTCTGATTAATGCCCTCCTTGCCTGGGCTGTGAGTTTTGGTAGGCGGCCCTCTCTTGGCAGGTTTGTTGTGGTGCCATATTCTTTCCATTTTTTAATAATGGATTTAATGGTGCTCCGTGGGATGTTCAAAGTTCTGATATTTTTTTATAACCCAACCCTGATCTGTACTTCTCCACAACTTTGTCCCTGACCTGTTTGGAGAGCTCCTTGGTCTTCATGGTGCCGCTTGCTTGGTGGTGCCCCTTGCTTAGTGGTGTTGCAGACTCTGGGGCCTTTCAGAACAGGTGTATATATACTCAGATCATCTGACAGATCATGTGACACTTAGATTGCACACAGGTGGAGTTTATTTAACTAATTATGTGACTTCTGAAGGAAATTGGTTGCACCAGATCTTATTTAAGGTCTTCATAGCAAAGGGGGTGAATACATATGCACGCACCACTTTTCCGTTATTTTTTTTTAAAGATTTTTTTATTTTATTTTCCCTTCACCAATTTGGACTATTTTGTGTATGTCCATTACATGAAATCCAAATAAAAATAAATTTAAATTACAGGTTGTAATGGAACAAAATAGGAAAAACGCCAAGGGGGATGAATACTTTTGCAAGGCACTGTAGGTCATTTGAAACTGTGTTTTTTTACATTGGATAAAATGGTACATCATACACTACAGTTGAGGAACAATGGGAAAGTAATTCTGCTTTGAAAGTTGATTACCCCACTTTTGACAAAATGGCCCTTGAATGTTTTGGTACACCTACCGGAGAGCTCTTATTTGTCTACACCCATTCATCATCATTCACACACTCTTAAGCCTTAGCCCCACCCATCTCTTTAAGGATTCACATGTGAGGCCTTGTGCTAAACAGGAGTACGGTAGTGTACTGAACAACCAAAGATTTCAAGACTAAAGGCTGGTTTATACTACGTCTATCGACATGTCTGTATACAGTTGTCGCAGTGACATCATGAACATTCTATTGTCGTCTGACATCAAACTTGTCGTTGTCGTTATGAAAAAGTATAAACACAAAAACGACAGGCTGCATAACATCAGCAGCCTGGTGGTCCAAAATAGCATAACTGGTGTATTTTAACACCAATAAACCCATCTGTTTAAAAATTAATTTAGTATATGTCAATCTAGCAAACCAGGCAACTTGTTTTTAGCTTGTTAGCAAGCTAGCTAACGTTAAGTTAGCTGGCTAGCCAGTTCAAATATTGGCCATATCAAATACAGTAGCTGACAATGTCTTAACTTTAGCTAGTTTGTATTCATTATAACAGGAAAATAAACTCACAAAAATATCATTATTTACAAGTCAATGGCGAGCTAATTACAGAAAATCTGACAAAATAAAAGCAGGGTATTCTACTGGAGAATTTTAGAACTTGGACACTGTCTCGTTGGCCTAACGTTATATCCTAATTTGACTTTGGTGCAGGTCATGTTGTTCTTCCCATTACCGTCTCTGGTAAACACACACTATATAAAATAAAATCTATGTTTATTTCTCACATGCACAGGATAAAGAAGCTGTAAACGGTACAGTGAAATGGTTACTTGAATAGTGGAATCTTTTGTTTAGACATGTAGCTAGCTAGCTAGCTAGCTAAACACTGAACCATAATCCCAACTCATAATGTTACTAACCTGCATGAATCTACAGGTAGCTAAAGCTAAAACAACTAGGTTCAATGTTAGCTAGCTAACTAACATTAGGCTATAACTAGCAATGCAAATGGTTCTGCGATATGAATAATATTACTACATAGATCATACACATAATGTTAGCTAGCGAGCCAGCCAGCCAGCCAGCCAGCTAACGTTAGCTAGCTAGCTAACAGTACACTTTAACTTGTAATGAAAACAACTTTCTGACTAAATTAGAATGGTATAATATCTGAAAATGTAGCTAGCTAGACTCTCTTACCCATATACATGGATGAACGCTTCTCCAATTCTGTCACAGATACCATGGTTGCCCTTAGTTTGAAGATGTAATCCAGAAATGTGTTGAAGTTATTCATGATATCTTTTTTTAAAAACAGCATTAGAAAGAATTACCTACACATACTGAGCAGCTCATCTTATAGACAGACGCGCGCTACATGGCAGACCAATCCAAACTCATCTCTCGGCATGTCCAGCCCATCCATTATCTCAGCCAGTCAAGGCTAGCGGGAAGGTTCCTGTCTTTTTCCGTGGCTAAACCAACTAGGCTCTTAATTTAACAATTTTATTACATATTTACAGATGGCATACAAGTTTGTTATTAAGGCACATGAAAGTTCATGTGAGCCAAAAACACATTTAGCAAAAAAAAAAGGTTTTACATTCAAATGCCTCTCCTGTGAAGTAGTGACGTGCGACATAAGCCTAGTTTCCTGAAACGAGTCACATAGTATATAATACAGTTTTATTTTACTAGACTCGACATTGAGCTCAGATGCATCCTGTTTCAATTCATCATACTTTGGAGTCCACCTGTGGTAAATTCAATTGATTGGACATGATTTGGAAAGGCACACACCTGTCTATATAAGGTCCCACAGTTGACAGTGCATGTCAGAGCAATAACCAAGCCATGAGGTCGAAGGAATTGTCCGTAGAGCTCAGAGACAGGATTGTGTCGAGGCACAGGTCTGGGAAAGGGTACCAAAAAATGTATGCAGCATTGAAGGTCCCCAAGAATGCAGTGGTCTCCACAGACTCTTCCTAGAGCTGGCCAAACTGGCCAAACTGAGCAATCGGGGGAGAAGGGCCTTGGTCAGGGAGGTGACCAAGAACCCAGTGGTCACTCTGACAGAGCTCCAGAGTTCCTCTGTGGAGATGGGAGAACCTTCCAGAAGGACAACCATCTCTGCAGCAGTCCACCAATCAGGCCTTAATGGTAGAGTGGCCAGACAGAAGCCACTCCTCAGTAAAATGTACATGACAGCCCGCTTGGAGTTTGCCAAAAGGCACCTAAAGGACTCTCAGACCATGAGAAACAAGATTCTCTGGTCTGATGAAACCAAGATCGAACTCTTTGGCCTGAATGCCAAGCGTCACGTCTGGAGGAAACCTGGCAGGATTGAGGGAAAGATGAAAGATGAAAGGAGCAAAGTACAGAGAGATCCTTGATGAAAACCTGCTCCAGAGTGCTCAGGACCTTAGACTGTGTCACGACTTCGGCCGAAGCTGCCTCCCCTCCTTGTGCGGGCAGGCTTCGGCGTTCGTCGTCACCGGCTTACTAACCACTGCCGCCCCAATCATCATCACATTTGTCTTGTCAATCACACACACACCTGGTTCTAATCCCCTCATTAGTCCGTATATAAGTGTTCCCTCTGCCCCCTTGTCCTTGTGGGTGATTGTTAGTTGTGAGAGTAGTATAGCTCGGTGGAGCAACTCGTACATTGTGTTGCCAGGGTAGATTTTCCCCTGTGCCTATGTATTATTGGATTATACCGTTACAGTGTATTTGCCAGGGATTAGAGTTTTCCCCTGTGCCTGTTTCGTTGATCGCTATTTGAGCGCATTTGTGTGTCAACAAAGGAATAAACTCTGTGTTCGGTGATTTGCACACAGCAAAGACAACGCAGGAGTAGCTTCGGGACAAGTCTCTGAATGTCCTTGAGTGGCCCAGCCAGAGCCTGGTCTTGAACCCGATTGAACATCTCTGGAGAGACCTGAAAATACAGTACCTTGCAAAAGTATTCATCCCCCTTGGCGTTTTTCCTATTTTGTTGCGTTACAACCTGCAATTTAAATTGATTTTTATTTGGATTTCATGTAATGGACATACACAAAATAGTCCAAATTGGTGAAGTGAAATAAACAAAATAACTTGTTTCAATTTTTTATTTTTATTTTATAACGGAAAAGTGGTGCGTGCATATGTATTCACCCCCTTTGCTATGAAGCCCCTAAATAAGATCTGGTGCAACCAATTACTTTCAGAAGTCACATAATTAGTTAAATAAAGTCCACCTGTGTGCAATCACAATCACAAAGTGTCACATGATCTGTCAGATGATAGGGCAGCAGGTAGCTTAGTGGGTAAGAGCGTTGTGCCAGTAACCCCCTTCTGGTTCTAATCCCCGAGCTGACTAGGTGAAAAATCTGTCAATGGCCCTTAAGCAAGGCACTTAACCCTAATTGCTCATGTAAGTCGCTCCGGATAAGAGCGTCTGCTAAATGACTAAAATGTAAATGTAATGATCTGAGTATGTATACACCTGTTCTGAAAGGCCCCAGAGTCTGCAACACCACTAAGCAAGGGGCACCACCAAGCAAGCGGCACCATGAAGACCAAGGAGCTCTCCAAACAGGTCAGGGACAAAGTTGTGGAGAAGTACAGATCAGGATTGGGTTATTTAAAAAAATCTGAAACTTTAAACATCTCACGGAGCACCATTAAATCCATTATTAAAAATGGAAAGAATATGGCACTACAACAAACCTGCCAAGAGAGGGCCGCCCACCAAAACTCACAGCCCAGGCAAGGAGGGCATTAATCAGAGAGGCAACAAAGAGACCAAAGATAACCCTGAAGGAGCTGCAAAGCTCCACAGCGGAGATTGGAGTATCTGTTTATAGGACCACTTTAAGCCATACACTCCACAGAGCTGGGCTTTACGGAAGATTGGCCAGAAAAAAGCCATTGCTTAAAGAACAAAATAAGCAAACACGTTTGGTGTTCGCCATAAGGCATGTGGGAGACTCCCCAAACATATGGAAGAAGGTACTCTGATCAGATGAGTCTAAAATTGAGCTTTTTGGCCATCAAGGAAAACGCTATGTCTGGCGCAAACCCAACACCTCTCATCACCGCGAGAACACCATCCCCACAGTGAAGCATGGAGGTGGTAGCATCATGCTGTGGGGATGTTTTTCATCGGCAGGGACTGGGAAACTGGTCAGAATTGAAGGAATGATGGATGGCGCTAAATACAGGGAAATTCTTGAGGGGAACCTGTTTCAGTCTTCCAGAGATTTGAGACTGGGACGGAGGTTCAATAGTTATGCACTCTCAAGTTTTCTGTTTTTTTTTTGTCTTATTCCTTGTTTGTTTCACAATAAAAAGTATTTTGCATCTTCAAAGTGGTAGGCATGTTGTGTAAATCAAATGATACAAACCCCCCCAAAAATCCATTTTATTCCAGGTTGTAAGGCATAGGGAGGCATAGGGAGGCCAAGGGGTGAATACTTTCGCAAGCCACTGTAGCTGTGCAGCGACGCTCCCCATCCAACCTGACAGAGCTTGAGAAGATCTGCAGAGAAGAATGGGGGAAACTCCCCAAATACAGGTGTGCCAGGCTTGTAGCGTCATACCCAAGAAGACTCGAGGCTGTAAGCACTGCCAAAGTTGCTTCAACAATGTACTGAGTAAAGAGTCAGAATACTTATGTAAATGTGATATTTCTAAAAAACATTTTTTGCTTTGTCATTATGGGGTATTGTGTGTAGATTGATGAGGGGAAAAAAACAATTTAATCAATTTTAGAATGAGGCTGTAACGTAACAAAATGTAGAAAAAGTCAAGGGGTCTGAATACTTTCCAAACACACTGTATATCTCACGCAGTGAAAAGTACTGTATTTATTTTTGTAATTAGTTTACGTTTAAATTGTGTTCCAAATCGTTTTGAAATCGTCGCATCTGCACCTGCAATTTAACATCACTAACGGAACCGCTATCATTGTCCTGTTTTACCACAGCACTGTGAACCGCGGCACATTGAAGCATATGATTGGTCTATTTATGTAAGGGATCTAGGGAATTGGATGCGAGTTTTAAAGAAACGCCCCTCAAGATTAGGAGAGTGGAGCTGAATAGAGAGAGATAACTTTCTCCGCTGAGTTTATAAAACTGTAAAAAGTAGTGCTGTTTCATATACAATGTTGTCAACAAAATGAGGTTGCTGTTACTCCCGTCCCTAATGCAGAATGCAACCTTTTGACAGCATGTACTAAAGTCGATAATCCACACTTGCATTAGTCTTCTCGTTTGGTGATTTGCGTTTAGAATGTGACAATGAAAAGGCAGCATACAGACCTACAGTATGTTTTAGCAGGGAAGTTTGGTAGGGTGACCTGATTTGTAACTATGAAAATAATTTTGTCAAACAGACTGTGAACCCAAAGGTGTACGTTTGATTGTAGAGGGGGGACAATAAATATACAAATAATAATAATACAATAATAATAATAATAATAAAACTGTGCTTCTCAGCAAGAACACTACTGTTATTACCCCACACTTATTGTATTATTCCACTTCTTACCAATTTTGCCTGTGTAATCATATTTGAAATCTGATATGCCTACTTGTGTTTTTGAAAATGGATAATATGAGGCTATGTATTTTTGCAGCCATTCATGGACAGTTTTGAATAAGTCATACAAATAAGTGTTGGATATAGAATGCTCTAGGCCTCTAAAATAATTTTTGACATTTTAGTATTGTGCACATGCTAGGCTAAGATGGTAGGGGGACTCACAACTCATAAACATTTCATATTTTGTCTATGTAGAGTAAGATGATGACAAGGATCTTCAACTAGTTATCATAAACCACCTGAATATTGATATTCATTCGATTTTTCTTGAAGGTTGGGTGATTTTGAGAAATTAATTGTTATTATAAGAACATTTTCAAACACCCAGCACTTGGGAAACATAGATCCGGGGTGGCCAACCCTCCTGTAGAGCAAGCGCGATTTTCTTCCAGCCCTATTTTAAAGAGTTCACCCAAATTACAAAATGTTTGTGTCCTTACCTTGAAAACAATCTATGGACAAGGAGACTGCAATCTATGATTTGGTTACCTGTGCAGAGCCTTGGTGTAGTGGTATCACTCCCGGCACATGTCGCATACAACTTTCCACCTGAGAACAGAAATCAATCCCTGCTTCCAACCTTCCCACTGTTTCTCCCATTTGCGTGTCTCCCCATCTCATTTTATTTATGTCTGAATAATGTGTCAAACCACCTAAAAAATATGTTTAAAAAATATTAGCATAATCTCAAAGTAACAAAGTCATTTTGAGTGTTCATTTAATGTTCAAAGCATCCTGAATACATCTGACCTGTGGTTAAGATTTTTTTTTATGTTCCACGCTGGTTATAGGCCTAACTTAAGCCATGTCAAAATATGTAGAATTGCAGGAAATGAGATTTAAAACAGTAAAGTTTTCCAACCCCCCATCTAGGGGTTGTGCCAGGGGGCAATGAAATTATCATAGCAAATCTCACTCCAAGCTTTCTTCCCCTGTCTGTACCTGTAAGAAACATACCCATTTTGACATTAAATAGCTGTATGCAACCTGATAGTCCCATAAATGTATGAAAGAGTTTTTCCCTGGTTTGTGTTTGTGTTCCAGATGTGAATGAGTGTGAGAGTGGGCCGTGCAGGAACGGAGGTGTGTGTACAGACCGGGAGGCCAACTACTCGTGTGTGTGTTCTGGAGAATACACAGGCAGGAACTGCCAGCACAGTGAGTGTGGATTTGTGTAACTGTTTACTTGCAAGTCATCAGAGGACAAATATTTTAAGAGGTATTGATGTCCATGAACACACAATTGAATTAGGTAGGTATTGGTGTCATATGCTCTCTTGCTGTTTTCCGTTTTAGTGTGCTTCTGTGTGTGTGTGTTTGTATGTGTGTTACCTATTTATTTAAGCTATTTAAGCCCTCTGTGCTGTCCTGGTGTAGCCTCATTAGCGATGTTGTCGCATGATGGTACCAGCCTGAGGAGCCAGCCAGAGGAGTCTGTTTGGGGGGGAGAATGCCAGATACGGACCTCCTCGACCCCCATCCTACACAGGGACCACGGACACACACACACAGACCCAAGCCCTTCTCCCCTACTACCCACACTCCTCCAGAACAGGTTGTCTTTCCACACACACTCACACAGGAGCTGTGAGGAAAGAGAGGAGAGTTGCTGGAACATGATATTCATCTGGACTTGCATGGGACAATCCAGAGCAGAGCTGAGGCTGTCCCTCAGAGGAGAGACAATGAACACTGTGTCTTTGGTACCTGCTGATGTTTGAGGAAGGAAGGAAGGATGGATGTACAAGTACTAATCATTCTCTCTCTCTCTCTCTCTCTCTCTCTCTCTCTCTCTCTCTCTCTCTCTCTCTCTCTCTCTCTCTCTCTCTCTCTCTCTCTATCTCTCTCTCTATCTCTCTCTCTCTCTCTCTCTCTCTCTCTCTCTCTCTCTCTCTCTCTCTCTCTCTCTCTCTGTGTCTCTCCTCTCTACTCTGTCTTTGTTGTGTGTCTGTGTACCTACTGTCCCTCTACTATGTAGAGTGTTCAGGTCCTCTGGGCATGGAGGGTGGTATCATCACCAAGGGGCAGCTGTCCTCCTCCTCTGCCCAGCGGGGCATGTTTGGTCTGCAGCACTGGAGCCCTGACCTGGCCCGGCTCCACCGCAGGGGCATGGTTAATGCCTGGAGCCCTGCAGACAGCGACCGCTGGCCCTGGATACAGGTAGCACACACACACCTAGACATACACACACACACCATCTGTCCGCTAGATAGATGTAGCCAGTGTTTACTCCACCGTGGCCAAACTCTTGTTGTTTCTGACCCCTACGTCTGTGTCTAGGTGAACCTGCGGCAGCGGATGCGTGTGACGGGGCTGATTACCCAGGGTGCTCGGAGGCTGGGCAGCTCAGAGTATGTGAAGTCCTATAAGATCGCCCAGAGCGATGATGCTAGGACCTGGAGCATGGTGAAAACCAGAGGAGACACACAGGACATGGTGATATTAGAGAGAGAGAGAGAGAGAGAGAGAGAGCGAGAGAGAGAGAGAGAGAGAGAGAGAGAGAGAGTGCATACATTTGTGTGTGTGTCTGTGTGTGTGTGTGTGTGTGTGTGTGTGTGTGTGTGTGTGTGTGTGTGTGTGTGTGCCTAAATCAACCTGATGTTTTTGACTGATAAAACCTGATGTTTTCCTCTAGATATTCCACGGTAACTCAGGCAGCAGTTCTCCCATGGCCAACGCCTTCTCTCCACCAATTGAAGCACAGTACATAAGGGTTTACCCACAAGTCTGCAGGGGCCATTGTATGCTGCGCATGGAGCTGATGGGCTGCGAGCTCACAGGTCAGTGACATCATCATCTGTAGACATAATGCTTTATAAACTTTATTTGGCACCCTGCTCATAACGCCTTCATTACAATGTTGTAAAGCTTCATGATGTATGTCAAATGTGTCAAAAGCAGTCATACATGATTATAAAATATGTCATGACAATGTTTTGACATATATTTTCAAAGGCTTTGTTGTTGAGATTTTCTGACACAACCATTATGATGTTGTCAGTAAAGTGATTATAAACGTACCATAGGCGAGAATGGTCTACGTAGTCTACTTCCTGTATCTCAGGGATTTTTCTGTGTTTCTGTTTCTGGTCTCCCAGGTTGTTCAGAGCCTCTGGGTCTAAAGGGGGGTCAGGTGCAGGATTCCCAGCTGACCTCGTCCTCTGTGTACCGGACCCTGGGCATGGGCCTGCTGGCCTGGACCCCCAACAGAGCCAGACTGGACCACCAGGCCAAGGTCAACGCATGGACCGCAGCCACCAATGACCAAAACCAGTGGATACAGGTATGGAGGGGAGGGGTAGGAGAAAGAGAAAAATAGAGTGCGCATTTTAATTCATGGATAATTAAATCCTCTCTCTCTCTCTCTCTCTCTCTCTCTCTTGCTCTCTCTTGCTTCCTCTCTTCTACCCCCTCTGTCTCCCTCTCTCAGGTAGACCTGTTGGTTCCTACTAAGGTAACAGGTGTAGTGACTCAGGGAGCTAAGGACTTTGGCCGTGTCCAGTTTGTGCGCTCCTATAAACTAGCCTACAGCAACGATGGACTGAAGTGGATGACATACCAGGACGAAACACAACACAAGGACAAGGTATAAACACATTATCATTTTGATTGATGAATTGATTGATTGATTTGTTGATTGATTGAGACACAGAAAATACATGACAGAGAGACAGAAAGAAAGAGAAGGAGACAGAGAGTGAGGAATGGTGATGGTTCAGTTATTGGTGTTCCAGTATGTCTGGTTATATCTGTGTTCGTCTTGTTGGCAGTGTGTCTGACTGTATCCGTGGTTGTCTTGGGTGACAGGTGTTCCAGGGGAACGTTGAAAATGACACCCACAGGAAGAATTCCATCCAGCCGCCCATATATGGTCGCTTCCTCCGCCTCATTCCGTGGTCCTGGTATGGACGAATTACACTGAGGATGGAGCTACTGGGCTGCACAGAGGACGACTGACCATCTCTCTCTCTCTCTATCGCTCTTCTCCCTCCATCTCTTTCTCTCTCATCTAGCTCTCTCGTTCCCGTCTCTCGCTCTTTCCCTATCCTTGCTTCTGTTTCTCTCCTCTTTCTCCACCCCCCCCCCCCCCCCCCCCCCACAATCACAATAGGTGATTTTGATTTGATTGGTTTACTGTGTGTTATTTATTTATTGGATTATAAGGTACTGTACTTCTGCTCTTTAATGTTTTTGCTATATCGTGCTCCTGTGTGATAACATTTCCAACAGTAGTGTAGTGCCAAAACAATACAGGGTTAACTTCTCCTTGGCCAACCTTTGACTGTTCCCTCCCCGACTTCAAAGGGCCACCGTTTCTGACTGAGAAACAGCCCTCTCAAAGCACAAAGTTCCCCTAAATTACCATAATATTTTAAAGGCATCTTACAGACATTGTAAAAGAAAAGTTATAACATTATTCACACTACATTGTGAGTATTAAGGTATTTCATTGCTGTTTTACGGATAGAAAATGTCATCCAAAGTGTGCTTACTACTGTACAACAACCACTGATATGATATTCATTGATACTGATTGAATACAATATTGATGGTAGTAACATAATTCTTTACTTGATATGAAGCAACAAACCACTTTCTGTATAGTAAAACAAGTGACATAATACTTGTGTTTCTCTTGGTGTCTGTTTGGATATCAAATCAAAAGGTGTTACAATCAAGTATTGGAATGGTCTAAAGCCCTTTGCCCTCACCTTGCTAAGGACAGGAGAGTTTGATGCAGCTATCTAAATGTATCTAACCCTAACCATAACCCTAAGCATAACCCTAGCTTCATGTCCACATCCCGGTTCAACCCTAACCTTAGCCTCAACCACAACCCTAACCCTAACCGAAGGGCAAGCTTATTAGCAGCAATAAAAGTTAGATAGCAAAATAGGGCTTAAATGTCAATACAGTGACAACAAATGACATGGAAAGTTGAAGGCAATTCGAGCAGGGGCGGACTGGGACCAGAAATCGTCTCTGGCATTTCTAACATACCAGCCCATTCTTTTCCTTGTGGCCCCCACACGGCCCATTTTCCCACCGGCCCCCATTAGCCTAAGTTAGGTTAAAATTGGACCAGCCATCTGGCATTGGCATATTAGGTGGAAAACAATCAAATGGTGTGCTGGCCGATGCTGGTTTGCATCAGGTGAATGGCTCACATTAGGCCTAACTAAAGTCAGTGAAGCCACAATGTGGTTTCTTAATTCAACTGCAAACACTACAATAAACAAATGCTTTACTCTCCAATCCTTTACTGTATTCATGTTTAACATTTCAAAAAGAAACATGACACAGTATGCCTGTGCATTTTGATTCATGAAATATACAAACAGAAAAAAACTGAGTGACTCTTTGGTCGCAATAGTAAGACTACCACGTTGCTCTTACATTGTGAGATAAATAACGAGTGATTCTATCTAACTTCTCCAATCCCTCCACGACAGTGTTGTCTCATGTCATCTCTAACTTCTTCGTCAGGCTAATTGGGCAAAAATGGTGAACGAGATTACATCTGCCCAAACATTCCTCAATTTTCCATCAGTTCTCCCTGTCTTCTTCCTCGCTCTCCCTCTCCCCCTTACTGTATCTGTGAGCTTCTCTGCAGGCCAGTTACATAGACCTCATCTAAAAATTCCCCACTGAGATTTATCAGTCTTTGTACCAGTCTATCTCTCTATCCTTCTCCTCCATCTGCCTGTTGAACTCCCTCTGCATCTTTATCTTTGAGATCATGATGTTCCTCTGTAACTCAGGTAGAACTATCTTCATCAGGTGTCTCTCTGCTTCAACTCTGACCTCTTCTTCATCTCCTCAATTTTCAGCCTGTGTCTCTCCTCCATCTTTCTCCTTCCATCCTCTTTCTCCTCTCTAAATCCCTCCAGCTCTCTTTCCATCCCGTTCCTCCTATCAGACTCCTTCTATAGCTCCCTCTCCAGCTCTCTTTCCATCCCGTTCCTCCTATCAGACTCCTTCTATAGCTCCCTCTCCAGCTCTCTTTCCATCCCGTTCCTCCTATCAGACTCCTTCTATAGTTCCCTCTCCAGCTCTCTTTCCATCCACGTTCCTCCTATCAGACTCCTTCTATAGCTCCCTCTCCAGCTCTCTTTCCTTCTCCTCATCCCTCTCTTCTTTCAACTGTCTTTCCAGTTCAGTTATTTGTTCTCTGAGTGTTTTGATGTCTCCCTTGAGCTTCTGGATTACTCCTTCTTTCATAATATGAGAGTCCTTCTCTACCTCTCTCTCCTCCCTCTGTTTCCTCACCTCTCCCTCCCTCTGTATTATTCCTTCCATCTCTCTGACCTGGGCCTCTGCCTCCTGGTACAACTGACTGCTGTACAAACTCGTTATGTTTCCTGCCAACATCTCCTTTACCTGCTCCAGCAGCTCTGGGACCTCAGTGCCATGGGCCATGTCCTTAATGTTGAGGACATGGTACCCGCTCCCACATTTCTCTACAAGCTAATGACGGTCCTAACTCCCTGCTTGGAGAAACTCCTCAATGCTCTACTCTTTCAGGCTTTCAGCATGGATGAATAGAATCACAATGTGTTCCCAACAACCCTCCCCAAACATCTCCTCTATTCTCTCCAGCACCCCTCTCTCATCCCCCTTGGAAGGCTCCAATGGTATAACCAGGAGGAAGGCGTGTGGTCCCGGGGCAGACAGATGGACACAGAGACCCACATTCTGTCTCCTTTGGAGATGGTCCAGGGCAGAACCAGTGTGGAGTGTCCACCAGCACCAGCCGTCTCCCACACACGGCCCTTACCTAACCCTAACCCCGAGTCCATAGTTTACTGTAGATCTGAATATCATGACGTTTCTGTGGATAACCTTGTCTGTGGCTGACAAGGGGAAGTATATTTAGCAGATTGAATTCTCCTGAAATGAACAACTCTGAGATATTCATAGTTTTTCTGCACCGTTCTCCACCAGGCATATTTTCCTGGCTGTAGAGATTTAACAGTACAGTGCGTACCAGAATTAGCTTCTCTTATCTCTTTGGACCCATTCACATTTAAATGAGTGAAATTGCCTCGATGGCAGAAATAGTCTCAATGCTTTTTCGTCCCCTACCAAATAAATACAATGAGCTGACTGGTGGTAACTTACGGTCTGAGAAGAGAGTATCATTACCACCTGCTGGTCAATGTTGGGAATTGCAGGGAATTTACAAAAATCTGAAAGTCAGACATACAGTACCATCCTTGTAGGCTCCACACGCACGCACTGATGATGGCCTCATTCCACAGGAGAGATGGTACAGGGACAAGAGCCAGCCAGAGTCTGTAGTGTTTGTTGTTGTTCTAATAGAGGGTACAGGTATGTTGATTGGTTTGTAGAGTTTGCCATTTCCTGTACGCATAGACACACACACACAAACACACACACACACCCTCCCTGGATTGAACACACCTTGAAAACCAACAGTTCACCCTGGGACGATGCACAAACCCCGCTTGTACTGCCTGCCTGCCCAGCTGGGTTAGGTTGAGGAGGTTGGGCTTGGCCTGGCTAGGGGGTAGAGTTAGGGGGCAGAGAGTAAAAGTTGAGTTTGGGTTAGGGAGTGCAGGGGAGAGGGCTGGGAGTAAGGGCTGGGAGTAGCAGAGGCTAGGGGGTAGAGTTGTGGGGTAAGTTTGGGTGAGGTTGGGGAGCAGTATTCCATGGGGGGGGGGGGGGGGGTTCATTTTAAAGATACATCCAGCCACACTGTCACGACTGAGAGGCTAGGACAGGCAGAGAGCTGAGAGATATCCAAGTGCTGTGTTTATAGCTGTCCACCCTGTAGTTGTATCTTGTTTTGGACTGGTGTACACAGAGGCGTCATGCCCATAGGGTGCGCAGGGGCACATGCCCCCTCAGATTTGTCATGTTGTAAAAAAAAGTATTATAATAATAATATACATTTTTAAAAATGTTGTTGTTGTTTCTCTGTAATGCTACTAGCCAACTAACACATTTATGAAGTTGGCTTTAGCTAGCCCAGATAAGTTCCCAATTTCCCAAACTCATAACTAGCTACCAAGAAGCCAGTTATCACAAAACATATTATTTTCCTTGTTATAGCTTAACTAGAAGATAAGGCATGCAAGACAAGACATTGTGAGATTCAGATTACGAAGACATATGCGCATGATTCTTTCTGCCTGCCCCATCCTCTCTCTCCCTTGCGCTGGCTCGCCTGCTCTTTCTCCTCTATTGATGCGAGTGTGTGTTCATTCTTCAGTCTGCTGAGTGTAGAATATCCTAGCCAATTCATTGATGATAGGCCCTGCTTTACTGATGTTGCAAGACATTGCAAGCCAAGGAAATTGGCGAGACACAGCACTCCATTGTGTGATACAGCTTTTGATTGCCGATCGATAGGCCTAGTGCACGGTTCTGAATGTCTGCCTGGTGGCCGACCTGCCTATACTGTGCCCCTACCCTCTCTCTCCGTCCCTCGCTAGCTCGCTATGAAAAATGCAAGTGTTTGTGTTCTCGGAAGTATGGCAACTAATCAGTCTCCTCCGTTCCAGAAATACTGAATCTTAGGAGTCGATTCCTAGCAGAATCAAATCTTGACACTCAGAAATGGGAGTGGACACAGGGAGTAGACGTGCAAGGAGTCTAGGAATCAATTATTTTGGAGTCGACTCTCCACCACTACGTCATCGTCGTTAACAGTTGGAAAAATGGCAGAGAAAGGCAAGTGACAGCAGCGAAGTCCTGTATGAATTGAATTGAGGTGGTGAAATGCAAATTTAGCCAGGCTGCAATTGAGGTACAGTAATGGATGTACAGGTGCAATGCTTAACCATCTGAAAGGGACACACCGTGAGACCAAAACTGTTGCTGGCAACAGCGCAGCTGCATTGTGATTTCACTTGGAATTGTATGAATTTTTCTTTCAATTTTAATGGAAAACTGAGAAAACAAAATGTCTGTTTAAATGTTAAGAAAAATTGTCAATTTGTCACATCCCTTCTACCAATAAAGTTAGAGTAGCTAGCTTGTCTAACTATCTTAACTGGAATGCCTGCTGGCAAGGTTGGTAGACTTTAGAAAAGCAAGCAATAACTAAATGT